TCTTGTTTTAATTTGCATTTCCCTAATGACATTATATCGAGCACCTTTTCACGTGCATATTTCCATCTGCATCTCTTCTTTGGTGAATTGTCTGTGCAGGTCTGTTACTCATTTTTAGACTGGGTTATTCATTTTCTTATTATTGAGTTTTAAGAGTTCTCTGTGTATTTTGAATAACTGTCTTTAATCAGATATATATTTTTACAAGTATTTTCTCCCAGGCTAAGGTTTGTCCTCTTATTATTTTGACAGGGTCTTGCAGAGCAGAAGTTTTTAATTTTAATGAAGTTTAATGAATTTTATCAATCATTTCTTTCATGGATCATGCCTTTGGTGTTGTATCTAAAAAGTCATTGCCATACTCAAGGTCATCTAGGTTCTCCCATGATGTCTTCTAGGGATTTTATAGTTTTGCATTTTACATTTTTGATCTGTGATCCATTTTGAGGTGATTTTATGAAGGGTGTAAAATCTGTGTCTAGATTCATTTTTTTCCATGTGGATGTCCAGCACCATTTGTTGGAAAGACCATCTTTGCTCCTTTGTCAAAGATCAGTTGACTGTATATAATTATGTGGCCTCTCTTTTCTGTTCCACTAATCTGTCTATTCTTTTGCCAAAATGACACTGTCTTGATTATTGTAGCCTTATAATAAATGTTGAAGTTGGGTGATGTAAGTCCTCTGACTTTGTTCTTTTTTTTTATGCTGGCTATTCAATATTGTGCTGGCTATTCTGGGTCTTTTGCCTCTCCATACAAACTTCAGAATTAGTTTGTTGGTATTCACAACATAACTTACCGGGATTTTGATTGGGATTGTGTTGAATATGCAGATCAAGTTGGGAGGACTGAGAGCTTGACAATATAGTCTTCCTATCTGTGGACATGGAATATCTCTCCTTTTAGTTAGTTCTTTGATTTCATTCAACAATTTTGAAGTTTTCCTCATAAACATATGTATTTTGTTAGATTTATACCTAAGTATTTTGTTCGGGTGCTAATATAAATGGTATTGTGTTTTCAATTTCAAATTCCATTTGTTCATTGCTGGCATATATGAAAGTGATTGACTTTTATATATTAGCATTGTTTACTGTAACCTTGCTGTAATCACTTGTTAATTCCAGGTTTTTTTGGTTGATTCTTTGTATTTTCTACATAGATTATCATGTTGTCTGTGAACAAAGGCATTTTTATTTCTTCCTTCTCAATTAGTATAACTTTTACTTCCTTTTCTTGTACTACTGCATTAGTTAGGACTTCCAGTATGATGTTGAAAAAGAGTGGTGAGACGGAACATCTTTATTTTTGACCCTAGTGGGGAAGCTTCTAGTTTCTCACCATTAAGTATGGTATAAGCTTCAAGTTTTTGTAAATGATCTATCAAGTTGAAGCTCTCTTCTATTCCTAGTTCAGTGAGGGTTTCTATAATGAATGAGTGTTGGGATTTGTCAAATGCTTTTTCTGCATCTATTGATATGACCATGTAATTTTTCTTTAATCTGTTAATGTGGTGGATTACATTAACTGATTTTTGAATGTTGAACCAGCCTTGCATACCTGGGATAAATTTCACTTGGTTGTGGTGTATAAGTCTTTCTATACTTATTGGATTCAATTTGCTAATATTTTGCTTAGGGTTTTTACATCCATGTTCATGAGAGATATTGGTCTATAGTTTTCTTTTCTTGTAATGTCTTGGTCTAGTTTTGGTATTAGGGTATTAGGGTAGTTGTATCCCCATAGAATGAATTAGAAAGTATTCCCTCTGCTTCTATCTTCTGAAAGAGATTGATAGAAAAATAGAGATTTTGTAGAGAAATGGTATTTCTTCCTTAAATGTTTGATAGAATTTACCAGTGAACCATCTGGGCCTGACACTTCCCATTTTTTGAAGGTTATTATTTATTGATTCAATTTTTTAAATAGATATAGGCTTATTGAGATTGTCTATTTCTAACTTTTTATATCATAAAACTATCATAACGAACAAGGACAAAATCAAAACAGTTTTGGACAAACAAAAATTGAAGGCATTAACCCCCAACAAACCCCTACTATAGGAAGGAAAATAACCCTACAAGGAAAGTCTGAGATGTAAGAAGGACTGGTGACAGAGAGAAAAACAGCAAACATGGGGAAAATCTAAATAAACACTGATTATGAAAAGAAAATGTCTAATTTGGATAATAAATAAACTAGGTCTGAAATATTGAGTAAAACAGCATTTAAGATGGCAAGCTGGTGAATAGTATTAAGTGTTTTAAGGATAGAGGTATTGATTACCTTCAGACTAAACATTCATGTTAAGAGTAGTGATAACTACTCAGTGGGTAGAAATAGAGTGCATAACTTTGAAAACTTCAGAGGAGAAATGAAATTAAAAAGTCCTAGTCAATCCAAAAGAAAGAGGGAACAGATAAAGGAGAATGGAGAAGATGTTGAAAAGTGAGGCAGGACTCGATCATGCAAGGTGTTTTATGCTATATTAGCCAGAGTTCTCAAGATAAACAGAACCAATGGGATATATATATAGAGAGAGAGAGATTTACATTTATTCCAAGGAATTGGCTCAATGATTATGGAGGTTGGGAAGTCTGAAATCTGCAGTGTCAGCTGACAGGCTTCAGACCCAGAAGAGCTGATAGTGCAAATGAAGTCTGAAGGCAGTCTGCAGGAAAATTGCCTTTACTCAAGGAGGTTGCACTGTTTGTTCTATTCAGGCCTTCGACTAATTAGATAAAGCCCACCCACATTATGGAGGTCAATTTTAGTCTCAGTCCACTGATTTACATTTGAATCTCATCCAAAAATACCCTTCAAGTTGACATATAAAATTAATCACACATCTGACAAGAGTAAAGTGTTTGGATCTTATTTTAACTGAAGAAGGAAGCCATTGGAAGATTTTAAAAAGAGAGTGATGAAATCTGATTTATATATTTAGAGACTGCTCCAGGTGCTAGATGGAAAGTTGATCCTAGAGGAACATGGGCAGAAGCATGGGAAGTAGGTGAGAGGAGTACAAGACGTGAGGAGAGCCCAGACTCATGGTATATTTTGGAGGTAATCTTTGACAGGACTTGCTGAGAGACTAGATGTGGGGAGTGAAGGAAAGAATGCAATCCAGGTTCATCCCTAGGTTTAGGACCAAATCAGCTGAGTGTACAGCATTACCATGAGCTAATCTGGGAGAAAACTGGAGAAAGAGAAACTGGGTGAATAACAAGTATGGGGTGGGAATATTAAATTTGAGATGTCAACTAGATAACCAAGTAAAGATATACAGTAAGCACATGTAGACAAGAGTCTGAAGTTCAGAGATGAGAGCAGAATTTGGGATATTAATATTGGAGTTATCAGAGTATAGATTATAAATTCTTATAGGATCACTTACAGGTGAATATTGATACAGAAGAGGCTATCCAGATTTTTTTCTCTTTCCCCTCCAAATTCAATCTCCACTCTTCTTCCCTATCTTTTGGCCCTGGAAGCTGCAAAGGTTTCAACAAAGCCCAGTACCTACTGGCTTCTGGGTGAATTGGGTCAATGGAGAACCAAGCAGGAGTTTGAAGGAAAGAGAGGGTCACAATCATCTAGCAGCTAGAGGTTGGTAGAAGTCCTTTGACATTATGAAGGGAATCAAAAACATCCTTGCAGGCTATGACGGTTGACTGATAACTGTAGCAGGCAGAAACTATAGTCCAAAGCTCATGACTTAAATGTATCTGAGGGGAATAGAAGAGTAATTGACATTGTTCTGTGCCAATAGGGCACCTTTATAGGGACAATACCCCCACTTTATAGAGATTTTACAAGACTAATTCAGTAGTGCTCCAGTTTCTAGGCCCTATATTTCCTGCATTTTGTAGAGGTGTTGTGTATCTGTTTACATTTTTATTTCTTACCCTAGACTGAGAGAGGTCCTTGTAAATATATACATGCTCGTATAAACTGAGCAGTCTTCACCATGCCTGGCTCACATTTGGTAAATACACATGTTCGTTAACTCCTCGAATGTCTTTCACCCTCTGGTTAGAATCTCAATTCTTATTTTTTGTTTTGTTTAAACATATTTTGTTATGAAAATATACAAAAATATATAGGACAGCCTTCTAGTTTTTAATTAACATTGTTGAAATTATAGGGTCAAAGACAACATGGATGAACCTGAAGGACATTATGCTAAGTGAAATAAGCCAGCCAGACAGAGAAAGACAAATACTGCATGGTATCATATATGTGTGGAATCTAAAAAACCAAAAAGGTCAAGCTCATTAGAAGCAGAGAGTAAGTAGAATGGTGGTTGCCAAGGGCTGAGCGGTAGGAGAAATGGGAGATATTGGCCAAAAGGTACAAACTTTCAATTATAATATGAATAAATTCTGAGGACCTAATGTACAATATGGTGGCTATAGTTGATAATACTGTATTGTATACTTAAATTTTGCTAACAGAGTGGCTCTCAAGGGTTCTCACTACACACACATAGAGACACACACAAAGTAACTATGTGAGGTGATGGATGGGTTAGTTAATTTGATTGTGGGACATATTTCACAATGCATACCTGTATCAAAATCACCATGTTGTACACTTTAAACATATGTAATTTTGTCAGTTATACCTCATTAAGCTGGAAAAAAAAACCCTAAATCACTCATTTTGGAGATTAAACAACAAACATTCAGAGAAACTGAGATTTACCCAAGATCACACAGTTAGTAGTTGTATTTTTTATTTTTTGAAGAGCCAATCTTGCTATTTCATATTCTATATTTCTTATACTGCTGTTGAAAAATTGATAATATTTTAAAAATCTCATTCAAATGCAATTTAGTGAGCTTTCCTCTAACATATATACCTCTGGATAATGTCATATGACAAGACTCCAGATTTCATCCTTTTCAAAACTCCAGGTGATTTCTAATTACAAAATAATGTATAAAGCTTGCTTCTTGAATATTTAAGAAAAAGAAAAGAGGCAGCCATTTAGTTATCTCAATGCATTTATTTTGTTGGGAAAATGATAAAAGTGTCTCAGGTTCATGAAGTTTACAAACAACTCCTTATGTTGTAAGTGTAACCAAAGTTTCTATTTTATCTATATCAATGTTAATTTTGTTTCTGGAAGCTTTCTAACATTTACTAATTTTCTTTAACAGAGGCTGAAAATGTTAAAAAGGAAATTGAACAATAGATTAAGTAAAATAAGTTACCTAAATATTCTAAATGGAATAACTATGTCGTTAAAGCATGAATGTATGAATGCAAATCATGAGTGCAAAGAGAGATACATTTTTAAATTATGTCAAGATGTATGCTTCCAGAAGAGCACCCTTTCTGGGACGGTAGAGCTTTGAGTCCATTTGACGGCCGGCAGCCACAGTGTATCACTCAGAAGGGAAAAAGTACAGCAGACAGGGCCAGATTTTCAACCTATTTCCTTCTATCCCTTTCAGATAACTCTTGACGTCCTGGTTGCAGTTGCCCAAGCAAACTAGCCATTAACTGGGTCTATATTTCTAAGAGAGAGAAAGGTCTGTAATTTATGATCAAAGTCAATGGCTCTAAACTGAGGTTCCTTGTATTTTCTGGTCATCTTGGCACCCAGGTATGTGATGAGTTCACATCTCTCCATAAACTGCTCCAACTTCTTCTTATACTTCCTTCTTGTATATTCAGAACTTTTGGGATTGAAGGCTGTAGAAAATGTCACAGAACTGAATGTTTTCTGTTAGGTTAGTGACTCATTCAATTAAAAAGAAAGAGAGCTCTGCGTGTGAAAGGGTTGCACAGCTGTAGCTGAGAAGATACCGAAACCCCAGGTGAGATCTGGGGGTTGCTCCATCTTAGACTGTAACTGCCTCTACTCACCTTCTCCGTGGCGTGGATTACTGAGAGCTGGTCATATTACTCATAGTCCTTGCTTTACTAGAAACTCAAATTTGTTATTTTCATTAAAATATTTGCTATTAACAATGATATTTCATTAAAATATTTGTAGTGCTACCAGTGCAAGCAGCTGACTCAGCTCAACAATCCTATACATTTCTCATGTATACTACAAATAATGTTAAATTAGTTCTGAGTAGCATATCATTAAAGAAGACATACCTTTTAGGTGAAATGCTATATATAGCAGTGCAGATCTCTTTATACTTAAAAACGGGAATTTGGGCTTTAAGCATCCTGCTGCATTCATTGCTTTAATTAGTGAAGTTGCGATGCCCTGCAGGGGGGACAATGTAGAGCACATGTATATTTGAATTTGGCTTTTGTTCTTAGTGGCAAATAGTTAAAGAGGCTATTCTTTGGTGTTGGGGATGGGGCCTATAAGGTGGTTAAATGACCACTTAACCAACATGGAAAGGAACACAAAGTACTTTTGATTAGGAAGATTGAAAATTACAAATTGGCTGAATGTCAGGTGGCTGATAGATACATGGGCCTCATTACACAATCCTTTCTATTTTTATGTTTGACATTTTCCATAAAATATTAAAGATAAAAGAAGGGGTCCCTGGGCTTTGAGTTGTCTTGGCCCGTTTTCTACTTCCATTGCCAGAACTGGCCAGACTGCCTCTGCTGTCAGGACCCTTGACCACCTGGCAAGGAATTCCAGAGACCACAGTTGTCAGTCACCACAGCAAAGATTCTGGAACCCTGTGTGGGCAAAGAAGAGGTGAGGCCCTCCTGATGAAATGTGGCCTTTTATGAGGCCTCACCTCTCTGGGTGAGCCTCATCTTGCCTTTTGATATTAAACTAGACCAAAGGCTCACCATCTAGGCAAGTTGAAAAAAATGAAGTGGTTAAGAATTTCTGAGAAAGGTATGAAACTGTGCCCTAGGCATTAATTTTATAGAAAAATTTAAAAGAGCTTTTAAAATAGTGGTTGATTACTGGTAAGTTTTATTTTGTTTAAAAAGAGTTATATTTAGATGATAAGATGTGACTTGAGTAGTATTTGGGGGCATTTGCCCCTAGATTTGGGGCAAAATATGACTTTGCCGGTTCAGTTGTGGTGGTATTGCCACTCGACACTTTTGAGCAGTGAATAAACCTCTCGGAGACTGAATCTGCACCTTTCAAATTTAAAAAGTTTTACAGACCCTGACATTCAAAATAAGAAATCTAACCACAAGTCAAATGTAAACAATTTCACAACAATCTGCTTTCTCTTCACTTTATTGCAGATATTTGGAAATTAGAGAAGCAGGGGTTCTTCTCACTTCTTATTTTCCCAGCCATCCAAAACCAGAATAGGTTCAGAGTGGATTTGCAGCTTAAAATCAGAAAACTCTGCCTTGAATTTCAGTATTACCAAAATAAAAATTATTGTTAAAAAAGAGATCATTGTACTCTACTAATGTATGTACACAGTCATGTGACTGAACCTGTTCCAGATATCCAGGCAAAGGAAGACTCGTGAGATGGATGGGCTCCTTCAACGGGGGCAGTTTGTGCGGAAGCTTCTGGCTCCAGTATTTCTCTGGCAACCTGAGAACATAAAAAGATCATCACATAGCTGCTCACAAATACACTCGCTGTGATTACACAGGAAAGTGGATGTGTAAGAGACAACTAAGAGATAAAGTTCACCAGGCTGATTTTCTCCACTGGAGAGAATGTGACAAGTGAGAAGATGGGGACTGCTGGAGATCTGTGCCCTGCAACTTTGCCTGGCCCCCAGTGCTGCGCACTTTGCCTCACTTTTCTTGTTTTTCACAGCAACAATAGCCAACTTTGTTCTCATCCTCCCGACTCCCAGGAAACCCTCGACACAGAGGCCGTGTTACATAGACAGAAGCCGTTCCAAGGGCACTTCCTCAACCAGTCACGACACGCGGAGCTGCACACACTTCCTCTTTCCGTGGGGAGCTTACCTCCCCGTCAGGGCTGCCTCCGCCCTCTCCGCCTCTCCTCAGACTTTGGATCCCCCGCTCCCACCAGCCTCTCTAGAGTGATTTCTCTCTCTCCACTTTGGCATTTCCTTCTTTATTGGATCCTCCCCATTCATCTGCATTTAAATGTGCTCCTAGCTTCCTCATTGAAAAAAAAAAAAGGGAAAAAGAAAAACAACCTTCACTCCTTCCATCCTAAATCATTTATAGCAATTGGTGTCTTCTCTTTTTAAACTTCTTGAAACCGTGAGCTTCAGTAGAGATCACAAACTACCGCACAAATTCCATCCGATCTGATCCACATAGTATTTTTAGAAATTTAAATCAGTCATGAACATTAAAAAACAAAAACAAAAACAGAATAATTTGGTTTAAAAAGAAAAAGGAATCTGGTTTCCAACTTGTGAAACAGAAACGCCTGGCGGTAGATAAGTAGCCACGGCTCTCCTTACCTGGGGCCTGCCCGTTGGCCGGGCCGCAGAAGACCCCACCGCGCCCTGCACTCTCACACCCAGCCTGCTTCCTGCAGGTGCTTCACGCCGTGGGCTGCTGTAGGTAACCTGTGTGTGTGGCACCTCTGGTGTCTTCATTTCCTCACCTCGCATCCAGAGTGTGGCACGCTGTAGTTACCTTCCACGCCCCCCACTCTACTGAAACCATTTTTGCCAGGATCACCGATGCCCCGTTATAACCGAAATCTGACACACTTTTTAGGTCTTCTCTTGCTTGACCTCTAAACTGCATTTAGACTTGTTGGCCAACCCCCCACCCCCACCCAGCTCCCCTCCTCCCCACAGCCTCCTCGACCTGGCTCTCCTTCACTTCTCTGTAGGTTCTTCTTTATCATTCTCCTTGCAAGCTTTTCTCCTCACATTTGTGTGTTGGTGTTTCTCAGGGTGTGGTCCTAAGCCCACTGCTTTTCCCACACTAGTCTTCATGGGTGACCTCAAACATGCTGTATTTTTTTGGACAAGATCATTCTAACAGCCTTAGCACTGGTATTCCTGCCTCCAATCCATTATCAACACTCCAGTGATGGTCTCTCTCTGAAGCGAATTTGAATATAATACGCAAAAGCAGTTAATATAGTCATACAGCCTTTTGGGTCAAGTTCAAATAATTTAGGGTGATTTTATCTGACCTTCACCCTCTGGCCCTGCTCCCCATCTCCAGCCTCACCTCTCAATCCTTTCCTTTTCTCTTCATCGTGTCCAGCCACGCTGACTTTCTTGCAGTTCTGTGATTCCCCTGGGCCAGGTTGGTTTGTAGGTCTCTCTGCTTGGAACCCGTCCCTCTTTCCCTTCATCTACCCAACTCCCACACCTCATTCAGGCCTTACCCCAACAGACAACTCAGCCAGACTTTTGGGCTACACAGTACCAGAACTCCTGGCATTTCCCCACCCTAAGTGCCATCACATTCTGCTGTTAACAGGTATGTAGAGTCTAAGGTACCTCAGAGCCTCAGGCCTTGGGACAGCATGAACCAGTTCTTAGTCATCATCATACATGCATGTATATGTGCGTATATGCATGTATGTATGCATAAGTATGTCTATACACACAAATATATTTATGCATGTACGCACACACACCCCAGCATGGTGCACTGAACATAGAAGATATTCAATATTGGTAACTTAGTGAATGGTCTCACCTCAAAAATTTCTCGAGTTTTTCTCTAGTCTCACAAATATATATACGATCACGATATTCTAAAGCAAATTTAATGTTACCAGGTACAAGGGCCTCATATCTGAAAGACAAGAAAAAAAAGATTGTATAATTAATATGCAGTACTGTATAAATAAAATGTCAAAAATGTTTCATTTTCTACCTATGCAACTCAAGGAAGAGATAAAACATTTTCCAGTTAAATAATAGTGATCTTTTAACCCAAATGTTAAGATTGTTATAGGAACTGCCTATTCTGAGTAGAGATATCACCCTAACCTCCCCTGAGGGTGAGGACCTGCCTGTGGTTTCCATCCTGATAGGTCACTGGACAGTAGCCCTGCAGCTCCGCGCACTTGGGGAATCGGCTCTTCAGCTCTGACAGTGTCAGCCTTTTGGGGATCATGTCGGCAGGTGGTAGTGGATGAGGTGCTAACGGAGGCACATACAATTCTGGGTTCTCCAAAAATTTCTACAGGAAATGATTACAGCAATAAGACCATTTAAAACAGGAGTACTCTGCCAGTCAAAAACCCACGGGGGCTCTCCTGCTTTTCTGCATTTTCAGCAGCAACCCAGCTGAGAGCTACTCTCTGCTCTGCAGGGACTCTTTCCCCAAGTGATGACATCCAAGGTCTCTCTCCTGATCTCTCTCACGGTTCACTCACTCCCTCACTAATTCACACAGAACATATTTATTGAGCTCGTGCTATGTGCCAGACACAGGGGAGTGCACATCACTTGCTGATCTGTCTTCCGGCTCTGCAGTATAATGAACTAGTTGGGTGCTATTTGGCAGGGGAGTTAACTCTCTAGCTTTAGTTAACACTGTAAAATGGAGAGGGCAGACCAGATGCATGATCTCTAATGTCACTTCTAGTTTTAAAATTCTGTGACTGCCATTTATATATGCAGGAAGAATTAAATGTCTCCTTAATAAAGTGATAAAAAAAATTCTACCTCTTGAGAGGAAAGTAAAATGTTCAGAGGCATCTGATGGTCTTCAACTATGAGCCTTTATCTTCACAAATTATAGATATAATATTAGAACAGATTTGTATTCTGTTGCCTTAAACAGAAATATAGTGTACAGATATACAGGGAACCCCAGTGATGAAAACATTTTAAAGCACAGGAGAGACATAGGTGAGATCTTTCTTCATTTCTACTGACTGTGACTTCCCTTCTGCACTGTGGGAGCTTAACCCCCTGGATGCCCAGCTGTGGGCTGAGTCCTGATGCTCAGCATCCCCTCCACTGGTAGGAAGCACCACTGGGTTTCCCTACCTATTAAGCTGAGGGCCCATCACTGACCCTGAACCTCCACTGTATGCCAAAATATATCTTGGGGTGCAGTCTCAGGACTGCCCTCCAAGTTGCCTCATTGGTCCTAATGTCATAGGTTCCAATAATGGGGCTCCTGGTCTCCAGTTCCTGGGTGTTTGTTCCCAGCTGTACTCACGCCTTCCTATTTGATGAATTCTGAGACAGGCATTTTCTTTCCCTAGTAAATACGTGGAGTTAGGAACAAACTTACGTTCAGATTTTCCTGAGAACTCATTTTATAATAGTGCCCTCTGAACTCTGCTGCAAATTCCAATGAGTCAGTTATAGAGCAATCAACTAGTTCATGTGATTCTGCCAGGCTGATAGGGCAGAACTGTCCAAATTCGCCCAGGCGAGAAATCAGTTCTTGAGGTGTGATACATAACTTGTCTATGCAGGCAGCTTTTCCTATTAGTAACAGATTAACTATTATTATTATATATTCCTTTTCATAGAAAACACAGTGATTTTAGAAATTAAAATGATTTCAATTACACACACATGATACAAATGCACATACATTGTAAAATTCCAAACAACAGAGTAAAAAGTAAGTTTCTCTTCACACCTTCATCCTCTCAATTCAACATCCCTCCTGAGAGTAATCACTGTTGATTTGTATCTTTTTCAGACTTTTTTCTATACACTTGCATATACACATTTATTTTTTGCACATAGCATGCTTATGCCACTATGCTGTAAACATTATTCTGCAACTTGCTTTTATCAGTTATTTATGGGCTTTGACATCTTTCCATATCAGTTTATATGATTTACCTAGTTCTTTTTAACTGATGCATAGTATTCCATTGCATAAATATGTATATAGTTTACTTAGCCATTTATCTATTCATGAATGTTTTGGTTGTTTTTAATTCTTATCTATTATAAATTATATATCTGTTATAAACCATATGTGTGTGTGTGTGTGTGTGTGTGTATGCATGTCTGCATAGCCACTTAGACACACACATATAAATTTGCTACATATTTTAAATTTTTCTATGGGGTAGATTTCAAAAAGTGCAAATAGTTTGTTGACATGATGTTACTGTACCCAGATGGCACACAAGAGAAGGGAAGAAATGTTTTTCCAAAAGTGACTAGGTTTACCCCAAAGAGTCTATTTTAAAAAGGAAGAGCCCAAGGTCCTTCAGTGAACAGGTTTGAGAGTTTTCTCCCCAGTACTGCACTGGAATGGGGATTGCAAAGAAATAAAACATATTATAGAAAATGAAAAATTTTTTTCACACATCTTAGTTACAATGAGTAAATTTTGACCCTTAATATATTTTGTTAATGGTCCCTTTCATTAGTGAGAAGTTTTGCCTTTTAAAAATTATCATTATGCCTAGGAACGTCTTAAATTAACTATAAAATCTATGAATCATAAATCATAGCTTGTTATGTGACAAAGTAAACATATAAAATTGATCCTTAGGATTGGGGCAATGGTCTACAAGCCAAAGAATGGAGAGGATTGATGGCAACACTGGCAGCTAAGAGAAAGACGGTGAACAGATTCTCCCCTAGAGCCTTTGGAAAGAATATGGCCTTGGTAACACCTTGATTTTGAGTTTCTAGCCTCCAGAACTGTGAGAGAATAAATTTCTGTTGTTTAAGCCACCCAGTTTGTGGTACTTTGTCACAGCAGGCTTAGGAAACTAAAACAATTATGGAAGACTGTGACTTCTTTTTGGCACCCTTTCTTGCCTTCTCAGCTTGTTCACTTGATAAAACAAAGGTACCATGTTGGAAAGGACTATATGGGAAGGAACTCAAAGTGGTCTGTGGCCAACAGCTAGCAAGAAACTGAGGCCCTCAATCCAACAACCCTCAAGGAACGAAATCTTGTCAGCAATTCATGAATGAGTGTGGTAGTAGATTCTTTCCCAGTTGGGCCTTCAGATGAAACAATAATCCTATACAATACCTTGATTAGGATTGTGAGAGTTCCTAAAGCAGAGAATCCAGTTAAACTTTGACTGGATTCCTGACCCACAGAAATTTTGTGTTTGTGTGTGTGTGTGTGTGGGTTATTTATGCTGCTAAGTTTTGAAATAATTTGTTATGCAGCATAAACTAATATGCTATTCCATCTGTTGTTTATGACACAGATGAAAAAGCTAAGAAGCCCTAATATTCCTTCCCTACAAAGAACATTACACTATAATACTATAGTGCCATAATATTATTCTAAAGTGTTATAATGTACAGTACTATGCTATAATAATATGTTTCACTATTAGAGTATATAGTATTACATAGTGCTATAATATTATACTATATGGTACTACAGTATTACAATCCTAGCTGCACTTTAGCTCAGATATGCTGAACCTCACAAATCCTGACAGATTTAGTGACAGGGTAATTTAGAATCACATGACTTCAAGTCCTAAAAGATACTCAAATATCTCTTCTTCTGTATTCTTGATGACATCTGGCAATGCCCATATATCTTAATCTGGAATGTGGCAGAATGAGGAGGAATCTCTTTAATCTTCTAGCCCTGACCTTGCTCCATCTCGTCAGTCAGAGTAAACTTTGGGCCCCTGATAGGAGAGGATCACTGGATAGCATATAAGGAAATGTGGAATGAAAACAAAACAAAAGTCAAAACTAAATTTAAACAATCAGGGACAGGTTAGATTATTAGGTGGAAGTTGAAGCAGAAGATCAATAAGGTCGACTTCAATAAGATTAAACTATTCAAGGCAGAGGCAAGTATATATGGAATAATGAAATGGATACCGTGGCATCTCATCCAGATTCCTCTTCAGGGCTGATGTAGCCATCCCTCAGATGCTGGGAGCATCAGTGCTGATGGGTCACATGTGCACTGGGAATTGCCCATCTGTCACAGGGTAACGCCCTCCCAGAGTGACCTGTGGTCAATGGCAGGCCAATGGAGGGATATAGAGCCTGGCTTCACCCCTCAATTGGGAAATTCTGAAGGTCCATCCTAGCTCCAGGCCTTCCCTATCTGGATCTGCTGAGGCTTTTGTTTCCACCACATGGCAGGTCAGTTTCTCCCTCTGTCCAATTCTATTGTCCTCACTCCCCACAGCTGTATCTCCTTGATTAACATACAGGAAGCCCAGTGACTTTAAATTTCAGATTAACAATGAAGAGTTTTTAGTATAAGTATATCTCATGCAATGTTTGGGACATACTTACACTAAAAACTTATTTGTTATTTATCTGAAATTCAAATTTAACTGGGCATCCTATATTTTTGGTTGCTAAATCTGGCAACTCAAATCCTGAGAATACTTTCTGATAAAGCTTCGGCAGACAACTTTTAATCTTGTTTAAACTTGAGACTGTTTCCAGGGAACTGAATCTAAGGTGTAGGGAGGGTGAAATAGGGTAACAGAAAGATGAAAGAGACACAAGTTTTGCTTTCAAAGTCTGCCGTGGAGTCTTTTACAAGTGTGATGCTTTCCAAAACTTATTGTGAGTGGGTTTCTAAAAACCCAATTCTTTCTTCCCTTGTACTCATCATGCCTTGTAATCCTCAGGTGAAAACAAATTCCCAGTCTGCAGACAAACAGGAACCAGAGATACTGGTTATGCCCAAATAATGAAGCGAATCAAGATTTAATGATGCAGAATCCTCACTGCCTTGTGTAAGATTCTATTAGTGACACTGTTCTCAAACCTCATTATATTTTCTCTGTCGTCCCATAGTTAAACAAAGTCACTAACCAGATGTCTGTGAGACCCCTATAGCTCAATTCTTTAGAGTCATCACTCTTTTTAGAGATCTCAGATATAGATCACTTTCCTTCTATTTTATGTATTTTTAGATAAAAGTCAAGAAACTTATAGGAATATATAATCAAACATTTTCTTTCATGGATTCCAAATATATATATTAAAAGACATTTTATGCTCAAGTTTAATTTTTTATAGATTCAGCACTTATGTAATACCATAATGAATATAAATACCAAAAATAACTTTAATTCTAGATTCATAAACAAAATTTTGCCAAGTGTCATCCCATAGACCACTACTTTCATATAACTAGCATTCTTGAAATTTAGCTTCTTACATGTCATTCCAAACATTATAAACTCTTCTAGTGAGAGGCTATGCATTATTTTTATGTGCTAGGTTCACATAGGAATTCAATAAATGATAGCTTGAGTAATGGCAGTCATTTATGAGAACAATATACTTGCCCACAATAATTGGATAGTACCATATACTTAAAAGACTGATTAAGATTGTGGGAACAAATGTTCAAATTGAATGAATCATGGTAACATGAATCAGGCATATGTAGACTTTCAATTAACATTTTATTCTATTTTAACAATTTAACGTTTTCTTACCTGCTTTTATTCTTTCCAGGTATATCTGCATATATTTATTCACCATTTGAACTTTCTTAATGACTTCATTCCACACCCACCATTTGCTGTGAAATCCATCAATCACATACCAGTTCTGATGCTGTTCTTGATAATATTTCCTAATCTCATCAATATTTTTATGGTATTTTGAGTTTTTGACAGCTGTAATCTGTGTGCTATTGTGCAGTGGATAAGGCAAACTAATAGAGAAACAGAATGAATGGAAAAAGCTGTTAAAAATGTACTTTTTTCCCTGGATGATTAAAGTTCATTCCTTTGTCATTGCTTTCATCACATACATTACCTTTGTTCCTTTTTTTTTTCCAGGAACAATCTTTTGAAAATCTCCTTGGAAGGCACATCCAACTCAAAGATGACCATGGGGATGATTGACCTAGCTTCCAAGAGACTCACTTGATATTTAGTTACAGGGTAGCCATCGATGACAACACTAGCAAGGAGAAAGATGAAAATAATTCCAGATTTCTTTTCTCTGATATCTTCCTTCCTATCTTCTAGAACCAGTCTATCTCTTTAGGAATAGCCTCTTGCTCTTTCTTTTGTAACTTGACTTACCTTCTTTGCACTTTGCCCTCTTTATCTCTATATTTTTAACCTCAGTCAGCCCAAGAGCCAGATGTAGGGCAGCATACAGACAGACACAGCTCTGAATTCATAACACTTAGCATCACAGAGCTAGGCTTTGGCAGAACTCAAGAGGTAACCCGCATTATACCTTGAACATTGTGTTATTCAATTGGTGCTTTTATTCTAAGCGTGAGACAGTGGAAAGAATACAGGCTTCAGAGGCAGACAGACACAGATTTGCGACCTAGCTTGACCTCTCTGAGTCTTAGTTTTCAGTAAAATAGGGGAAATGATACTTAACCCTGAGAGTTGTCTTAAAGACTTATAGATCCGGTATGTAAAGCAACTAGAATAGGTCCTGGCACAATGAATAGTATCTTAGTAAGGGATTAAACAAATATGGGAAAACAATTGTGCTCTAAGCTTGCTTTTATAGTAAAGTTCTATGGGAAGGCTGGGGGGTGGCGGTGGGAGGAGAGATGGGGAGTTGGTGAGAGGAGCCCTGTGATATCTGAGAGAGAATCATTCCATCAGGACCCATCATGCTTCTGAGCAGAAGTGACAGAGAATTTACATTAGTCCCAGTCTGTGATAATGAGAGTATAACTATCAAACTGAGAGGAGGAATAAAGGGTATCCACACATTCCGAGAGGAGTGGCCCCCAAAGTCAGGAAACTCCCTCTGAGGAGGGAGCAAGCCAGGCCTGCTGGCTGATGGTCATCAGGAAGGGCTGGTTTAGAGGAAGTCACAGGATCCCCTTACTCAGTGCTCTCCAGCCAAGTCTCTAGGCACTAGTTCTAAGTTCCATGGCAGAGAGGATTGTAAATTAATGCAGCCAGGCAAACCTAATAGACAACATTATGGGAGTGCTACGGTTGTGTTTTGGGGTTTTCAAAATAAAGAGTAGCTCAATTTCTTTGCTTGTGAAGGGTCGCTTGAGTGGCCCTCAAGTTTAGAAAAATTCAGGGTGATTGGCCAGTCACTGTCCTGGTATTAAGGTGAAATAAACCCCTTTCGACTCAAGGTTGTCTTCACAAAGATCCCTTGTGTGCAAAGCTGAATGCCAGGGAGGAGGTAACTCAATTTGTATAAGTCCCAGGGCCTTCTCTGGGGGAAAAATCTGACACCCCAGAATCTGCTCTTCATAACTGAAATTAGGAGAACTGTCCAAAGACTTAAGGACCAGTAGCAGGGAAGGGCTAAAAGCCTCTTAATGTAATACAACCTTGAATAGATCAGTGGGATTCTAGGTCAGTGACCTGGGCTCAAGAGCAGGGCATTAGGTTGCACTGGCTTTTACAACTGGATGCAACCAGTGGCTGCATTGGGTGAATAATGGTAGGGCAGAGGATTGTAAACTGAAGGGAAAGCTCAAGCATGGGGCCCTCAGGTCCAAATGTAGCATTAAGGGAGGGGCACTGCTACCTGTGCAAGGAGCTGGGCCAGTGAGAGACTATCTCCATTAGACCAATACCTTCTAGGGAACAGGGGAGGGCCACTCCTTCATCATTCCATGGAGCAATGAGAAGGTCTACTAGACGCTGGAAGTCACTGGCCTTCCTGGCCACACTGGCCTCCTTTGCTGGCAGTGTAAGCCCAGAGACTTTTGGACAACCCAGGGGTTGCTGCAGCAAGTGAAGTGGCCGCTTGCTATTCTGCCATATAAGTGTTCAAGCCAAGTTTTAGCCTGACAGAAAATTAAAATATATAACCATGAATGTGCCTAAGGTTTGAGAAGTAGATCACACCCTCTACAAGAGCTTTAAACCTTGTTTAATATAAGTGTTTTAAATTCTGTTGGTAATTCTTAAAAGAATTCTTTAACTCCCTCCCCAGCCCCACACCCACTTACCCTGCAATATTACATATGCTTTCCATCAGACAGATTTCTAAGGCTTGAATAGCCAGTTCATCAGGGGCTGTCATTCCTTTATGAAGATGCCAATTTAACATGAGTGCCAGCTCTGTGTCTGGTTGGCTGTTTAATACATAATGCAAAGCTTCTCCTATTGACAAACGCTTTAAGCCATATTCACTTGAAATTTTTTGGGCAACTGAAAAACATTAAAATTTTATTTTATTTTTTTTATTTTTTTATTTTTTTTTAAGATTTTATTTATTTATTTGAGAGAGAGAATGAGATAGAGA